CTCCCTTTTATTCTTCCAACTGAGTGTTGAACACTCGGCGCCCTCGTAAAAGGCTTACCCGTGCCTGGTACCCTTCCGCAAATCCAGCGCACTGTACAGTACGCTCCCGGCCATGTTGTTCAACAACACATCCTTTCGTGGGATCGGTGTTTGGGCCGGCACCGTTGCGTTGTTCAGCTTGTTATAAGCGTGAACCAGACGCCACTTTCCGTTCGGCTTACGAACGCAGAAAGTCGGCGTCGAGTGCGGGGATTTCGACTCCCGCACCATGCCTGCCTTCGCTTTCGCGGCGAAGAAGGCATCAATGACCTCGCACTGTTCGCGCGGGAGAGGCCATTGCCTCGTGACACAATACTTTGTGCCGGGCACGAGATCAATCTCGTGCCGTACGCCTCGATCCGGTGGGAGTTGGGTCGGTGGGTGTTTATTCACCACATCCGCATACTCCGTCACCAAAGGATACACCGGATCCTTGGGGTTCTTGAGAATATCAGAACCCAAGCGCGCCTGACGCTGCTTGTTCATGTCTTCCAGGACGTTCTCGTCCAAGACAGAGGAGGAGTTCAGCTCCTCCCGAGTGGTCTCAGGTCTCATGAGTACCATCGCAGCAATCTCTCCAGCCTTGAGGTTGGCCAGGAAAGACTCAGCCGTCATTTCCTCGAGGTTCAGTATCTCCGCAACCTCTGGCAACGGTTCCAAGTGGACACCAGATGCCTTGACGGGTAAACCTGTCTCGCCATCGAAGATGTGATAACACTCTTCCACCGGCCTTGTCGGAGGAGCCCGGGCCCTGGACTCCGAGTCGCTTGAAGCGACGTCGATCGGAACGAAGTTCGGATCCGACTTGAGGCGGCGGCGGCGTCTTTGCCGACGGCGTCTGTGACGGGGAGCTTTGCTGCCCACGTCTAGGGATGTCGTCGCTACGACATCCGAGGCACTCGTGGCCTCGTGTGATACTGTTGTACCCACACAGGAAGCGTGTTCAACGCCTTCCTCTTCAGTTAAGGTCTGGGCGACCGCGTGTGGCACTGTGTTACCCACACAGGAAGCGTGTTCAGCGCCTTCCTCTTCAGTTAAGGTCTGGGCGACCGCGTGTGGCACTGTGTTACCCACACAGGAAGCGTATCCGACGTCTTCCTCTTCAGTTAAGGTCTGGGCGACCGTGAGTGGAACTCTGTTACCCACTCTGAACACGCTGTTCTCAGTGTTCATGACAGCTGCAGCTGTCTGCGGAACTAAGTTACCCGCCTGTGGACCAAAGTTACCCACTTGGCCAGCGCCTCTTCTGGGCAAGGCCACCATCAAAACATCCTCGGAGTCGTCATATACGTCGACGACTCCCAAGCATCTGCCGGATGCTTTGGTACCCTGGCAGCCCTCGCGGGCGCCCCGGGTCCTGACAGAGGTGGGAACATGACTCACCAATGCTCTGTCGGACTGCGCAGGGCGGCTGGCACCGATTGCCTTGCCTCGCCAGTCGATCCAGGGCTCGTGCTTCTCAAGCCAGGGCATGCCCAGGATCATATCATATGGATCCATATCGAGAACAGTGAAATGTTCGAGGCTGTCAAAGTCTTCAAACTTGACAGCCAGATCCACTTGGACGTTGGGGGACAGTGACGACCTTCCCGTCGGCCAGTCGCACTGACACCGTCCCGTTGCCCTTTGCTTTCTCTCAAAGCTTTCTGAAAACTTGTTTGCTGTTACGAAGCAACCGTCTGGCGGCGTGCGAAATTCTTCGACGCCCCAGAATCGATCAAGATCCTAAAGGGATGATTGTGGTGTTGGAAATCCCACGTGAACTCTAGCTAAAGATGTAGTTAGGATGCTCCCACAACAATACGTCTACTAGGATAGTAAACGATCGTTCGGGCGGACCTGAAGACCCCAGTTCTGCCCTTGCACCGGGACAAACTGGACCTTGTAAACTACTTATATAGGCCAACCAGTAAAATAAGAACACGCTACTAGCACGAGCAAAGCTAGCAGGTGTTTTGAATCCTCGTGGTCCCAACAGCGGAAGGGTACCAGGCACGGGTAAGCCTTTTACGAGATCACCGAGTGTTCAACACATGGCTGGAAGAAATAAAAGGGAGGCAATTCAAGCACTCCCAGTCGTGCAAATAGGCAACAATAAGCCGTCACGTAAAACCTCCCGATAATAATCGGCCAATACACAAAGTCTCTTGGCCTTGCCGGGTGAACCCTCGCTACAGAGCTTCGAGTTCACCGACAGGCATAACACACTCAAACAAGCTTGACCTGACGCTTACCTTGAAGCCGGACGTCGCTCTGTGTGCTTGAGTGGAAATTCTGTTCTGTATTTAAGCTTACCCTTTCGGGTCTATTCCTAATAAGAAGTCCTAATCAAGTATACAAATATCAAGTGAACAATGATCCGTTATGGATCTTCTTGCATGCCAAGCGTCGTCTGCACCGTCGCATGAGCATCTTCAACGGTCCGCGCCCTGTCCCAGACGGTGAAAGTGCCTTCCAAGGGTCGCTGAGTCTTCTGCGAACTCATCCCAACCGCCACTGAGGGTTCGTACCGTAGATGGTCCGCTGAATGCGAATCCGGCCAGTCCATTATTAATAATAAGGACAGCCTGGATTCAGTGACATATGCCCGTGTCCAAGACTCGTTGAACGTTCGGAGGTGACGCCGTCGAGTCCCTTGCACCTTGGCGTCTCCGTACATCACCTGACCGAGGGTTCGTCGCTTGAACAACTTGGGCGGTGTCACGTCTTTGTCGACGGGTGATAATCCACAACTACGGAGAAATCACTACACCACATAGTGGTGTAGGACATCCTGTTGTAAGGTTTCTGGCATCACCAATCTCATCAATCCATCCCGATCCTCGTGGACTCTCTTCGTAGGGGGGCAATAGAAGAGCAAGTCATTCAGATCCACTGCGTAA